CAGAAGATTCTTGTCATTTGAGTATTTTCTCTATTTTCATCTAACACCCAAAATAATAATAAAAAATTATTGGATAATAAAGAGATGTCAAATGAAAAATTATCTCAATATATTATAATTGATTGATTTATTAGTTTCATTATTCATACATATTAGAGGTTTGGTTTAATTTTTTGGAAAATAATATTAATTTTTTTAATTATATTGTTCAAAAGATATTGTTTGTTGAATTCGAACTACTATGTTTTACTCGCGGGTTCAAAATTTATTTTAAAATGAAAAAGTGTTAATTATATGTTTAAAACTTACTTCCAAATGAAAATGTGTTAACTAATAACTATATGTTCAAATAATTTTAAGCACGGATAAGCTTATTTTGTTACCATTATAATAGAATAGTTAAGATGAATTTATCAACAAATTAACAAGAAGTCTTGACTAAATTTGTACTTAATAATTTTAAACTTAACAAGTATAAGGATCTTTAAATTTAAAATTGTGTTAAGATTTGAATTTTTTTATTGACGGATAGTCTTAATTAGATAAATTTTAAACTTTTTACTTAATTAACATGTCATATTCCTCTTGCTAAAATATATTAAGTGGATATTTAATTTTTAGAAGGATTGTAAATTATTTTTATATATACATGTTTCTTTTAAAATCTTTAGTAACTTATTGATTTGTGCTAAATAGTTATATGACCACATAACAGTTAGGAAGAGAAAAAGTGAGGGTGATATTTTTCTTTGATCAAGAAATACAATTATATTTTTTTTTATATTTCTTTTTTATTTATGTGCTATATTAAAAGAATTTAAAAAATATTTAACTATTAATTATATTAAATGTGCATTGCAAAGAAATTAAAAGAAAACATTTTTAGAATATGTTAAATGTAAAAATTAATTTGTCTTTATTTTCATTAATTACTCCACAACTTTTTATTATTATGACCTATAAAATAATTAATAGTCATATTCATCATATTATTTGGTGTTTCATATAGTAGCCCTGTAAATAAAATCATTGTAAGATTTTATAGAAGATCACATTAGGTTTTTAGATTGTTATATTTTCGGTGCTTATTATATTCATATTTTAATTTGATTTGAAGAATAAGATGAAAAATGGTGATCGGCTTGCGGGAGTGGAGTGGACGTCCATAAGAACTCGAAAGATATGTGTACTAATTTCATATTTTTCCTTCTATTTTTAATGAGTAAGGAATTAAGAATGATGTTGCATTTTTATTGGTATGATTTATCTTTATTTTGCATCTTATGTGAATTTCTTATTGCAATTTTTTTGTTCAAAATAGTAAAAAATTTAATAACTTTATTGGAAGTCTACTAAGTACTAACCAAACATTTTTATCTTACATCAATATTATATTTAATAAAATTATCAAAATTTTATCACTCTTTATAACCGCGCGAAGCGCGGAGAAGTTCACAAATTTGGTGTTTGGGTTGGAGATGCCCTTAGTGGTACATCACACCTTAAAATTAATAACAATTATATATAATATATATATACACATATTTGACTTAACTTGTTAAATGGAATAGAAAATCCTACAAAAAAAAATATTGTCCGGCGGTTATCTACGTTGACCCAATTACATGAAATTAACAATCTCATAATAACACAAGGGTATAATAGGAAAGCAATTTTTTGTAGAGTTTTAAATCAAACACAAGATTAAGTGGAAAGTAATGAACCAAACACTTGACAAAAAATAATCCCGACACTACTAATTCCTGCATTACTAATACATGCGTTACTAATCTGTGCATTACTAATCCCTGCATTGTCAATGTTTGTACCAAACGACCCCATAGTGCTTAAGTGTCTAAATAGTATATGTATATATTCTTATTTAATAAAATGAAACTATTTTTAATAATAAACAAAGGAATATTTCAATCATGTCGATGAATAACCTTAGAAAAGATAGATTTATGTAAGTTTCCATCGTGGGGTCACCACGTAGAGGCTCAATCATATTTGGAACTTGGCCCACGGCAGTATGGTTGGCTTAGGGAGCTTATTTAGAACCGTTGATTTATACGTCTTAAAATATTCAACATGCAGATTTATAGTATTAATCTAGACTTTAGTCGTTTCCACTTTATTTGGCCAATCAACGGTTTTAGATTTATTCTTATCGGCGATTAATTTGCTTCTATAAAACCACTCGTGCCAACAACTTCACACTCTCTCCCCCAAAGGAGGGCAGCGGAGGTTACTCGCCTTTTGCTTCTGAATCAGATAGACCGATCTGCAAATTGATCCCACGAATAAGATGTTATTGAGAAGCTCATCAACCCCTTTACTTAATTCATGGAAACCGAAACCATGTGGGTCGTCGCCGGAATCCGATTTATTACCTATAACGACCCAGCAATTGAACAGGACACGATCTGTGTTAATGTCGACGTCGTTTGGTCCGGATGAAACTCCGGCGAAACATACGTCTCCGACGAAACATGCACCTAATAGGTGTATGTGCGAGTTGGACCCACGAGATCCAGCTGTTCCGAAGAAGAACAAAAACGGAACAAAAAGAGAGGCGAAGACTCCGAAGCTAAAGAATAACGAAGTGGGTTCGACGGAGGTGAGGAGGTTGTTGTCGAATTCTGGTTTGGGGAATGCGGAGGAGGAGGCTAGTGTGGCGGTTGAGGAGAAAGGGAGGGTGTTGCAGTCTCTGGTGGCGGGTGGTGTAGGTGGAGGAGGAGGAGGAGGTAAAGTTTGCGGTGGCGGAGGTAGCGGAGGATCGGATGGTGGAGATGGGTCTGATTCTCAGGATTCAAATAGTTGGCATGGACCTGATAATATAGATGCCTATTACCAGAAAATGATCGAAGCCCACCCAGGAAATGGTCTCCTTCTGGCCAATTATGCCAGATTCTTGAAAGAGGTAAAAAAATTCTAGATGAAATTTCCTCTGCCTTTTATAAATTCAGATCCAGAATTTTGACTTGATAGGTTCAAAACAGCTCCATCCGCCTAATTTTGTTTTGAGTTTGTTTAATTGATTCATTTTTTACTACTACACTGATTTATTGATTCGTGGGATGCCAATTATTGATGCAAACAGGTTAGGGCTGATTTAGAAAAAGCTGAGGAATACTGCGGAAGAGCGATTTTAGCAAACCCGAATGATGGTTATGCGTTGTCACTCTACGCTGAACTGATATGGCAAACTCAGAAAGACGCTGCTCGTGCCCACACTTACTTTGATCGAGCTGTGAAATCTGACCCTGATGACTGGTATGCATATGCTTTGCATTTCCTTTTTAAGATTTGAAATATTCAGTGGGATAAATATTGTTATATATGTCACTTTCTGGGCATTGTTATCATGTTTATGATTGATGGATTGATTCCAGCCTGAATGAATGGGCTCTCTACCAGATGGGCCACTTTTTTTGGAGCTATTTGTCCTCTCTCTCAAAAATATCTTGGTGGTCCATTTGCCCATACTTTTATTTACTTAATTATATTTTTAGCACGTCCCTTCCATGTAGGTTTGATTCGCTATTCATGGCCAAACACGTGTAACTATCTTTTTGATAATGAGTGATGGTGAAATTTGATCCAAGACTTTTGCATGCTTTGATATCATATTAAAGATTTGGATTTTGAACCTAATCAGCATGATATCAAAGCAAGCAAGAGCTCTGGAAATCGAGTCTCACTGTCATCCATTATCAAAAAGAATTTTCACATGCTTGGTTCATGAAAAGAACATGCCGCTTGTGAGGGGTGTGTTGAAAGACATAACTAAATAAATAAAAATAACATCTGTCTAATAACTTAAGCTTTTAAATGAGATGGTCACATACTTCAACAGATTGACCCTGTTTTGCCTTCTAATGTGACGAACGGGTATTATTGCAGCTATGTACTGGGCTCTTATGCTCGATTCCTGTGGGATGCTGGTGAAGAATATGAGAATGAGGGTGAGGAAGATGAACTGAGTAGGCAATTTGGTATACAACATGAGAATTCAGGACCAGCCCAGAACTTCTTTGGGGCACCGTCTCATCGACCTCCCTTGGCTGCTGCTTCTTAGTTTCACAGCCTCTTCCCATGTTAATCAGACTCTTGAGCACATGGTTTAGATAACTAATAAGTACTGCTAGTATATAAGTAGCTATGAAATAGATTGCTCTCGACTATGAAGAGTTTTCCTTCCGTCTCTTTTACAAGCTCTAACTAATTTTAATTTTGTGATGTCTGATAAGTGATAACCGAGTATTATAATTTGTATACTTCGCGTTGTTTCTCAAATAATAATGCATAAAGTGAGTTGTTTTGTAGTTTGATTAAAACTCACCATTTTCCATAAAACACAAGTTCCAGGTGTTCTTGCTGTAGTATGTAACTCCAGTTTTTTTTTTTTATAAAGGTAGTGTTGGGGCATCCTACCCTGTACCTTCAAATATTTGATTGAATACTTGCCCTCTCATTAGCATGTATCAAAGTTCATCGCTTTGTTTGCTCTTTTAGATTGGGCCATTTTCTTGGGCTTGTATGTCATGTTAATCCATGCATGAACTAGTCCAATATAGACTTGGGCTACCACCATATTGCGGAGTGTGTTGGAAGATTCTCAGAAGTGTTCAATTCAACTGAATAATGATGAAGTGATATTTGAATAAATTGCTAATTATCAGAATTATTTCCTTATTCTATTTTCTTGTCAGGTAAATAATTGAGAGGATTAAAAAATATTTACTGATATATATGTTTCTGTTATAAAATAATAATAAAGAACTATCAAAACAACAAAAGATAATACTAGTAATAAAATATCAACACAACAAAAGATATAGTCCAAGAAAAAAGGGGGAGAGAGATTTTTTATTTATTTTCAAACAAAATAATTTGAAGGGAAAAGGGTTTGAAAAATATTTTAACTTTAGCCGAAATTGCTGTTATGATACCAAATTTTATGGAGGACCTTTTACCCCTGAACTATTTAATAATGTATTTTTTACCCCCTGAACTATTTAATAGTGTATTTTAAAGGTATATATGTGTCCACGTGGACACATTACTATTTATAATTATGCATTATTTTTTATGTCCACGTGGGCACATATATATCTTTAAAATACACTATTAAATAGTGCATGAATAAAAGATCATTTCCAAAGTTTGATATCGTAACATCAATTTGTTTGCTTAAACTATTTGCGAGCAATCTACTTAATTTCAAACCTATCCAAAAATATGCTGAATGTTTGTAACAGTAAACTCCCAAGGTTTATTTAACAGTCCTTTTGTTTTCGCCTCTGGTTTAGTAGTAGTAGTAGAAATAAAAGGAGATTGCGTAAGAAACATGACTTGCGCTACCGGATCCAAAATCCAATATTTAAATTCAGTTAATAGAGTTTTGGGGAACGTTATCCACTGGAAAAAAAAAGAGTTTAGGCATGAACTAATCCAAAAATGGAGCACGTCGTTTGATTAAGCCAGCAGACGCCACGTGTCTAACCTCATAAATCACAGAAAAAGAGAATAGTCACCCTATACCATAACAGCTTTTATTCAACAAATCCTATCCGTCCACTTGTGCGACGTGTGATAAATCTGTTGCGTGTTTGAGGCGGTTTCCTATGAGTTGCGGCGTCTTTTAAGTATATGTCAAGCAAGCTTCATAAATGGTTGTACTGATGCAAAAACAGAGCTAAGTTGTAGTTTTTGAGTTTTGATATTTGGAGAAGACAATAATGGCAAGTAACAATATGGATCTTTCGCCTGTGGAGCTTCCTGCGGCGCCTCTGTCTTGGAAGAAACTGGTAATTTTTTTACCAATATTTCTAGTGTTGTTTGTTCCTCTGCTCTACAAGGCTATGTATGTTACTACTCTTTTGGTTGTTTTGAGTATGCTATAGTTCCACTCAAATTGTTTCATATGACTTTCAGTTATTAATTCTGTTTATTTTCCCTTATTTCAGTTATTAGTTGAGTATATTCTTCACTTTGTAGCCTCGATTTATTTCTTACTTCAGTCTGATCAGATATGGAATACCAGATTTAAGTGATTTTCTCTTGTTTGTTCCTGTTGTTGATTGGAGAGTTGACTTTGGGAGGGAAATAGAGAGTTGGTGATCTGTTTAACAAGCTAGATTAAGGCAACAAAGTTTAGTTTTTGGTTATGTAACAGAAGCTGATTTTTGTTGTTGCAAAGGCTGGAGTTTCTTCTGAGCTTCTTGAAGAAATTTCTATTTTCTAGTCACTACAAGTTAAACATGAACTGTGGATGACAATATAGTGGAATATGAGTGTAAATTTCATTTAGAAATAACTAGTAAACCAACCATACAAGAATTACAATATGAATAATACTACGGTTTCTGTTCACTAAGCTTGAAATCTAAATAAGCTTATATGGTTCAACACTTGACAACCACCATGACTTGCGCCATCTCAAAAGTTCGGAGGGAATTGTGAGGTACCAAATGGGAAGTAATTAATAGTTCTCTTTCTTTTCGGTGTCTGTTTTCTGCTGTCTTTAATTATTCTCTTCACGAGCTAGATATCCGTATCCATGTTTGTGATATCGTTATTGATGAGTGAAGAATTCTGTATAGTGTCCTACTTAGCTTGTTTGAGAAATCAGTATTTGAAAGCTCCTGGGATTGTATCCTTCAACAAGGGATAGTTAAGTATTTCTTGTGAGGCATAGTTGGACACCTTATATATTTTCCTCTTATCTGTTTATTTGCAGCTCATGCTGAAAAAGGGTGTTAGAGCAAAGAAGAATGAGGTTGTATTTGTTGCTCCAACAGGAGAGGAGATAAGGAATAAGAGGCAGTTGGAGAAGTACCTGAAAACACACGATGGAAATCCTGGTATGTCAGAATTTGATTGGACTACTGGTGAGGCTCCAAGGAGATCAGCACGGATCAGTCAGAAGGTTAAGGCAATGCCACTTCCAGCAGTGCTTGAGCCGGCAAAGAAGCGACAACGTACGTCTTATGCTACAAAAAAAGAAGAGGAAATGGATATCGCAGATATAGAGAAGGAAAACATGGAATCTGCCATAGAAGAAAAGGAAGGCTTGGAGAAGGAGGAGAATATAGTAGAAGTTGAAATGGAGGACAAGGGGGGTGAGATGGGCGCTAATAAGGAAAATACAGAGCATAAAAAAGAAGAGGAAATGGCTGGTACAGAGGTTTCAGATAGGAAAACTGAGGCCAGCAATGACATTCAGTTTGAGGATGGAGGAGATAAAATGGCTGAAAATGTTACAGAGGAGACTATAGCAATTGATGCCGACTTCTGGAATGATTCCATGGACAAGGACTATTTCAAGGGAGTGTTTGCAAATGCTGTAATTGGAGAAACAAATGGTGCTGAAGCAGGAATAGAAGTCGGGGAGAAACCAGGATACGGGGAAAATCTAGAGTCCCAGATTGATATAGACATTAGTGGAGCAGATAACATGAATCACGACATTCCAGATAAGGGTACACCAGAAAGAAAAGTCGCAGGAGGAGAGACGTACAACATTCAGGACCCTGCATTTGTTGGAGAAGCTAGTGGTTTCCGTGAAGAGCCTAATTCGGTGGAGGAGGAGAAAAATAAGAACAGGGCTGGCCTGGTTATGGATAATTGCCAGATTAATCAGCCAGAGCGAGCACATACCCCACAACATCAATCTGTTGCCACCATTAGTTGTTGAGTGTAGCATCTAAAATAAATTAGGCCTTCGCCCAGTGCATGTTTAATCCGTACTAGGACGATTATAATAGTTTGCTTAGTAGTTTAGGAATTAGCGTTTTAGAGATCAACTTTCCTGATCTTTCTGTGATCTGTACTTTGTGATATATTGTGGTCTTCTAGTATCTTACTAACATAAATAAATGTCAACTTGTTCATTGTGATCTTTCTTGTTTATTGGTACTGCTGAAATTCAATATATAACGTAAAAAATGTCTTGAGAAATAACGGTGTCTCGAGTTCAGGTGGTTAGAACTTACAGCTAAGTAAGAGTAAGACTGTGTAAACTTGGAGATTGAAATTCTAGCTAATTAAGAGAAAGTCGATTGAAATTTTGTATCATGGATTCATGATTGTTTTTTATAGTAACAAAGTGTAGTAGTTTAAACAAAAATTCTCACAGGAAGGATTAAAGCTATCAAAAATATGTACAGTAGTTTTTTAAAGGGTGAGGAGGTAATTAAGAAGCAATAATTTTTCTGATAATCAAAGGAGGAACCTTACTTTACAGTTGCAAATCATTTTCGTCTATCGTATCGTAAAAAGAAAGGTTCAACTTCCAAGTCAAGTGTTCATTTACTAATTGCTCCATTTGATTATTTTGGGAGTTGAATTAGCCCCATTTTCCAACATCCCTTTCGGGTTCTTCTTTCTACCTCATTTCCCTGTTAATGTTTCAATCAACATTAAATTCCTACTTTGATTCCTCACCGCTCTTGCTATAATAGAAACTCAAGACCCAGCACCACGCAATTTAAGAGTTTAGACCAATTCAAAAATTCCTTCCCTTATATATACAGAACCATATTGTCTATCTAGTCATCTCATCCTACCCTAACAAACTACGTAGTAATCATCAATTTCCTCACTAGCGACTTCCAAAAAACGTCGAATTAAGAAATTAGTTACCAAAAACTTAAGATATGGACAAAATGTTGTGCATGATGGTCTTTGGTGTTTTAGCCGTTGCAAGTATGATGCAAGACGCAACAGCCCAAACGGTGCATGTAGTTGGGGACACCATGGGTTGGATCATACCAAGCAATGGCACGGCAGCTTATACAAATTGGGCTGCTGGGAAAACCTTCAGCGTTGGTGACACACTAGGTATGTGTATTTAATGATCAATTTCCATTTTCTGATATCCTTCAGCTTATTTTGTATTAACACAAATCCAGTGTATGATTATGTTACTTTCCGTATTTTATACAGTATTCAATTTCACGACTGACCGACATGACGTGCTGCAAGTAGAAAAAACATCGTTCGATGGTTGCAATTCACTGAATGCCATAGGGAATGCTATAATGACAGGACCAGCTAATATGACTCTAAACTCTACTGGAGAACACTACTATATTTGCACTTTTGGTATGCACTGCCTAAATGGCCAGAAATTAGCTATTACAGTTTCCAGCGGCACTGGTACTCCAGAAGCCAACCCGCCTAACCCAAGCAATCCAACAACTCCTGTTGTGCGACAACCAGAAGCTTGTGCACCTACACCCTCTGCTGCAGGACCTTCAAATTCTGTTCCAGGTGGTCGTGCTCCTCCTACGCCTTCGTCCTCAACGACCGTGTTGGCCAGTTTTGTACTCAGTCTGTCCACCATTGCCTTGGCCACTTTACTTTAAATTGGGTAAATTAAGGAGGTGTTGAGCTTCCTAGTTTATACGTAATAATAATGTGATGAATTTTTTTTAATTATTGGATTGAGTTTTGTTTTGTGAGTGGCAGTAAAATTGTTGTATTGTTTTTACGATCATCATCAGTGCAGATTATTTTGGTACAGTAGGCATGTCCCCTTGTAGTATCGAATAAACAATCTATAAGTAACAGTTATGGTGTATTTTATCATACCAATATTTGTTGATCCAATATAAATAATGATGGTGAATAATTCTGCAATAATTCATACCAAGCATGTAAAGATGATAGTTTTACCATCTCCAGTGATACAAAATAAATAAATAAATAAATTAATCTTTCATTAAGTTGAAACCTGGGTGATATACGTATAAGTCCCACAGACCCAATTTAAATTTCCATGCTTTAAAGCCTCTAATTTTGGTGTTTCACAAATCACACTGACAGTAAATTCATGATGTAACATTCAAGTCCATTCAATGGAAAGGGTGTAGGTTGTCGAAAGATAATCCCCACATTGTCTCTAAAACAAACTTACTTATTATTCTTGTTCTAGAGTCTCTGCAACCATTTGAGCATACTTAGCCAATTGAGTGAACTTCAAAGCATACTGCTTCATACTCATATTTTCTTGACGAAGGTTGATAAATTCAAGTATTTTTATCTCCCTCATCTCAAGGAGAAAGAACATATCAAGGAAAACAGCTTTAAACAAAGTCCAAGAAGATTATTAACATAACGATCATCAGGAGTACTTAGGTTTAATATGTCGCATATAAGGTAATTCATTTTCTTAGAAAACGAAAGAAATTATTTTAAATCTCAAAGTGATCATATATGAACAAAAAAAAAATAATATTTTACTCTCCTTAACATTGCTATACATTTCTAGCTACTACGATATTAAAACGATTCCAATTGTTCCCCTGTTTCGATGAACTAACCATTTAATTTGTATTCACTTTATTTTTCAGAAGTCAATATTCACCAAAGCGAGATGGTATCGTTGCTTGATTTAGACTCTGTATAGTGCTCTCTATGATCATCTAGAGTTTCAAATTGTTGGTGAATCTATTCTTTATCATGTCCACAATGATCAGAGAGTCTAATTCCATCCAAATGTTTGCCAATTGGCTCCATACATTGTTGTTTTTGCCTCGGCCTCAGTGTTGCTACTGCAACAGAGAATGCATAACTTACATCGCCACTATCATTCCTTAGAATTTTACAAAACAACTATGAACGTATTTCTCAGTAACGTTTTAGGTTAAAAAAAATTTAAAATATTCAATGACAAAGAGACAAAGATATGATGGAGTAACGTTACTTGGAGTGAATCTTAACCTTACTCCTCAATCTTTTTTTCTTTTGCCATTGAATTTTTTTAATAAAATATAACCTAAAATGTTATTTAAAATGTTATATTAATTTTGTAAAATTTCAAAAAAAAAAAAAAAGCATATTATTTTATTAACGGCTTACTTTGGTAAAAAAAATCCCATTCCTTACCACACCACTAATACGGCAGTTTACCTGCTCTTCCTATGTCCTTTAAGAAACTTCCATTAGTGTTGATTTTGATCACCTCATTAAAACATTTACTTCTCAGGATATGTTTTTATCTACCAGTTCGGATAAGTTATCCCGCTATTTAGCAACAATTCGAAATAGTTTAATTCTATAAATGTTCTTTGGATGCATTCATATCTTTATATTTATCATTATCATATTATCTGGTAAGTATCCTTGCCATTAACTAATCTAAACTAAAATATTAGCCCTTAATTAATTGGTAATTCTTAATATAGTAGAGGAACTATCAGCTGTAAATCAATTTCGTAATTGTTGTATAGAAAAATAGCTATAAGTCTCATGTGCCGTAATATGAAAGGTTCAAGTCAAGTGTGTATTGACTTTCATTAATTATATACTTTTTTTTATTATTTAGGGAGTTGAATTAGCCCGCCTTCCACTTTTCTCCTTCGAGATCTAATTTCCTGCTCATTTTTTTCTTGATGGTCCAACCAACATTAAATTCCTACTTTGATTTCCCACCACTCTTGCTATAATAGAAAGTCATAAGTCATAACCAAGCACCACGCAAGTTGAAAGTTTAGACCAATTCAAAATCCCTTCTCTTATATATAGAGAATCATATTGCTAGCTATATATAGACATCTCATCCTTAATTCCCTACAAACTAGCAATTACCAATAAAGTGCAAAAAATAACGTTACCAAAAAATAAAGACATGGACAAAATGTTGTACATGATCGTCTTTAGTGCTTTAGTCATCGGAAATATGGTGCAAGACACGACAGCACAAACGGTGCATGTGGTAGGGGACAGCATGGGTTGGATCGTACCAAGCAATGGTGCGGTAGCTTACACAAATTGGACTGCTGGAAAAACATTCAGAGTTGGCGATACTCTAGGTATATACATTTAATTAATTTATTAATTTTCATTAGATTATATCCTTCAAATTAAACTAATTAATGTTTCTTATTTTAATTTTGACAGTGTTCAACTTTGCGACTGACCGACATGACGTGCTACAAGTAGAAGAAACTTCGTTCGATGGATGCAATTCGCAGAATGCAATAGGCACTGCCATAATGACAGGACCAGCAAATATAACTCTTAATTCTACTGATGATCACTATTTCATTTGTACTTTTGGCACACACTGCCAAGGTGGACAGAAATTAGAAATTTCAGTTTCCGACGACAGCACTAGTACTCCAGGTACCAACCCACCTACACCATCTGTTGATGGACCTACAGGTTCCGTTCCCGGTGGTGTCGTTCCTCCTCCTCCGCCTTCGTCCTCAACGACCGTATTGGCCAGCTTTGTGCTCAGTCTATCCGCAATTGCCTTGGCCATTTTTCATTAAATTGGACCATTTAAGTATGTTTTGAGATTCTTATAGTTTATATATACGTACTACGATGTAACCATACTAGATTGTATCGGATTCAGTTTTGTTTTAATTGATGATTGTATTTGGGATATTTTATGAGTTAAAGGTTAAATATAGGTAGTTTCTTTGCTATCATACATCTAATGGCCCAAACGTCATCCCTGACTAAAGTGACATGATTGAATCCTAATTGCTAATTGAGTAAAACCCTTTGCAAAAACTTTTGCAACGTAACTACGTGCGTAACATAACTATTCTCAAATTAAGGTCAACGAAACTATAAATGTAACGTTGATTGAGGGTTGAAAATTGCAATTAGCTAGCCTACCTCCCGATTTAATTTGTTCAATTTAATTGATTCGTTTCTTTGAAAACCAACAATTTGATGTGTAGTATAATGAAATTTCATATACGAACGTTGTGATACATATCTACGCTTAACTACTCCCACCATCTCAATTTGCATTTTAATTTGTATATGTTTGATGAGAAAAACTTTACAATATATTCCAGACAAGCATTATATATTTTAACTTTCTAACACAAAAGACATTTCTAACTAACATAATAGTATGTTTTAAAAAATTAAATGTATATTCCCATATGTAAAAGAACTGATACTAATAGACTTAATTAATCGCAAAAGTTATAGCTTATTTAAGGAGATAACAATTCATTCCCTCAATTAACGAGGAGCACTCTAACAACTCTATGACATATATTTGGACATATGTAATGTGAATAACTTAATATGTGAAGTCCACATTACAAACACAACAAAAAGCTTTATGTCTACCGTCATTGATATCATGTTAAGAAGAATACTTTTTTCACTTCAAATAATAAAAGTAGGCCACGAGGTTAAAAGATTTTGATGACTAAATATTAAAATGACAATACGATCTCGATCTCAACACATGAGAACTATTTATTTTTATTATTTTTTTATAAAACAAAAGTGAAATATTCTAACAATTTAATTTCCTGGGTACATGTCTCAGTATGGTCCATTCATTGGTGTCCCTTTATTTACTCTATACTTGGATTTTGTGGTCGCATTTGTATACGTATTGTATTTCAAAATACGAAAAGCTATTAAATGTCTTTTACTTTAGAAAATTTTAAAATCCACAATAGTGGCTCATTGACTATATATAGTCGTAAATTACGTACATGCACGGCATTTTGTACGTAGAGTACTTTGACGCCAACAACTTTAATAAATCATGTTCTCCTTTCGATCCATTTTTACCTGTTATATTTTTCTTTGTACGTCTTTTGAAAATTTATTGAAGAGAAAATTAAATTGTCTAAATTATCTTATTTACTTTTTTATCTCATCAATTCAAAATTACTTTTTTTTCCCGCCATATGAATTAATCTCCCTCCACATTTATTGAGCAATGATGAAAATGACAACAAATGTTTAATATTACTATAATTTTCAAAAATGATTTAACCAACTATTTTTAGTATGCAAGACAATTAAAATGGACTAGAGGTAGTATTATAGTAATTGACAACTAAAAATATTTAAAAGATATATGAAAATGTTACGATAAAAAAAACATAACTGATTTAAATCTCAAAAAATTCAAAAGCTATCATGGAATGTAGTGAGTATATTTTAAACAGTAGTAATTGATGATGTAAATATCTTTATATTATCACACTCTGGAACCTAAAATTGATGCAATTTCTAGATTTGGAAAAGGACCATTTCTAGAACAGACAATACAAAAGCCGTAAGTCTTAATCATAGTGTGCAGTTTCACACTGCATAGTCATATCTTTGAAAATATGACATAGCAAAGTGAATGGAGTTGCCATATTTCGAAAGAAACTTTATTTGAAATTTTTGGTTCATTGACCAGTAGTTCAAGCAACAACGTAACATTATTTTTCTCCGTTTCAAAATTTCGTATACATATTCATTTCATCAATAATGTATTTGACCCGGCAATAGAATCAATTGTGTAAAAGCTTAAAACTTTCATATGGGTATCATATTGTTTAGAAAAATTATGGAGGACAAAAAAGTAGATTGAGGGTTGAGGTCAGTGACGTACACAAGATTTTTTATAAGCAGCGTTACCTTTTAAAATAAAATAAAAAAGCAGTATACTACTATACCTTTTTTAAAACATAAAAAAATATTATAATTTTTTCTCAATGAATTTTCTTTTTTCTAAATGTATTACTTCCAAGCCTTACCCAACCAAGCTACGTACAACTTTGGTTACAAGTGTCACTTAAAGAATATACACTCTACGTTTGCTTCTACTTCTTAATTATTTGT